CATTTAGCATGTGTTTTGCTGCTTTTAGCTAGCCTTTTGCTACATTTAGCGTGCGTTTTGCTGCTTTAAGCTAGCATTTCACTTCATTTAGCTTGTGTTTAGTCGTTTTAAGATAGCCTTTAAAGTTTTATGATGTCCTTGAAGGAATAGGAGCCATTAAATCCTAAACTCAGGTTCTATTTTTATTGGACCCGTGAGGGTTTTGTTTGTGTTTAAACGTTTATTGTAGATTAGAAAAATCCAGATTATCTGTGAGAAGCTTTAAATGAGATCTGTAACAATGTTTTGTGTGTGCAGAGGTTCAGAAAGCTGCTGGTTGCTCCTCTAACCCTGAGAACCTCAGAATCCTGATAAACCCACAGATCCTGCTGCGGGTCAGAGGCGTCCCTCGTTAATCGGATCAGAGCAAGGCTGACGGCGCCGCTCACATTTCACCGCAAACGCTCAGAAACACAAAGACATGAACGTTCCTCTGCACTGCTCCTGCTTCGGTGAACTGAGACTGGTGTTGTGGGTCCTGATTCTGTCCTCTCCCCTGGACTGAAGCGAGGACAGAACATCCTCCGGTGAGCAGCTCTCTGATTTCTGCTCCGTCAGCAGAAAGCTGAAGCAGAACAGAGCCCACAACCACTTCCTGTTTGTTCCCACCTTCATTTGAGCCGAGCTCAGATTATCATTTAAAACATGAAAAGCTGTTTGGGCTTCATCTGAGAGCGTGGGGAGAAGTTTAATTTCTGTTTGTTGATAATGTCTGAATCCAACAATTTTCAGTCAGGTCATCTGGATGGTTTCCTTTTTTTGTGCTGAAACGTTTCACCTTCCATCCAGAGGAGGGGGCGTGCCAAAGAGACCATCTTAGCACCAACATAACTGGTTTGTTCCACATTGGAGTAAGCTGTTTGGGAGAAGAATCAGTTTTGTGTTGCGTTTCCTTGACTGATGAAGCCTTCTGGATGGAAGGTGAAACGTTTCAGCACAAAAAAAGAAACTGTCCAGATGACCTGACTGAAAATTGTTGGATTGTATACCTGGATTACTGAGCATGGACTTTGATAATGTCTGAATGAGCACCTTAGGAATGAATGTTTCAGTCTTTCTCCCTCCTTAGATGCATTAATCTGTCCTCCAGCTCTAATGTTAAAAATCTTGGTGTTATTTTTGATAAGGACATGTCTTTTATCCCCCACATTAAAAACGTTACTAGAACCTCCTTCTTCCACCTGCGTAATATCACTAACATTAGAAACATCTGATCTAAAGATGATGCAGAAAAACTGGTCCATGCATTTGTCACGTCTAGACTGGACTATTGCAATGGTTTATTATCTGGGTGTCCAAATACTTCTTTAAAACATCTTCAGTTGATCCAAAATGCTGCTGCCAGAGTCTTAACTGGAGTTACTGGGAGAGATCATATCTCTCCAGTTTTAGCTTCTCTCCATTGGCTCCCTGTCAAATCCAGAATAGAATTCAAAATCTTACTTCTAACCTACAAAGCTCTCAACAACCTAGCTCCATCTTAAATTACAGATCTTATTGTTTCATATTTTACTAACAGAGCACTTCACTCTCAGACTGCAGGTTTACTTGTGGTTCCTAGAGTTTCCAGCAGCAGAATGGGAGGAAGATCTTTCAGTTCTCAGGCTCCTCTCTTGTGGAACCAACTTCCAGTTTCTGTCCATGAGGCTGACACATTGTCCAGTTTAAGACTTTCCTTTTTGATAAATCCTATAGTTAGGGTCGGCTTGTTATGCTGCTATAGACTTAAACTACTAGAGGACAAACTGACCTCATTTCCTTAAATGAATTGTTAAAATTGAATATCTACAAGTTAAGTCAGGTTCTCTGGACGTTCAAAAAACAAAAATTGCAGAAACCTTTTGTCTTTTATCCAAAAGACTTCCTCAGTCTGAGGAGCTGTATTCAGCTCAGTCTCTTAAATAGCACCTTCTCAGAGTGGATCAACCAGTTTGCTGCTGACAACCAAAACCAGCTGATCACATGCTCAAGAAGGACCATCAGCCTAACAATGGATCATTAGCACCTGATGGCTGTTTACTGTTCACAGAGGGCTGAGTGATACTAGCAATCACAGCATTGTAAGAGGGGGACAGTTGAACCCGGAGGCTCCACCCCTGTTTAATGATGGACGGTTTCTTTTCACAAAGATGGCCTCCTTTACTCCTCTCTCAAACCATCGTTCCTCTCTGTCCAGGATGTGAACATCTTCATCCCTGAAAGAGTGACCTCTGGCCTGGAGATGAGTGTAGACCTCAGAGTCCTGGCCTGATGATGTTGATCTTCTGTGCTGGTCCATCCTTTTGGCCAGTGGCTGTTTTGTTTCCCCGATGTAGGACTGATCACCCTCCTGACACTGAACAACATACACAATATTACTCTGTTTGTGCCGGGGGACTGGATCTTTGGGATGAACCAGTCTTTAATGTATTTTGGGGTTTAAAAGCCACTGGGACGTTATGTTTAGAAAATAAACGTCTCAGTTTCTCTGATACTCCCTCAACATCTGGAATGACCACTGGTCTGGGTCTGGGTTCCTCCTTTTCACCTGATGGCTGACTGGAGTCCTGTTTGGGTTTCTTCTTTCAGGAAGGCCCAGTTAGGATATCCACATTGCTCTAGAGCCTGTCTTGTGTAGGATTTCTCCTTCTGCCTGGCTCCTGAGCTAGTGGGGATGCTGTCTGCTCTGTGGTACAGAGTCCTGATGACTCCTAACTTGTGCTCCAAAGGGTGATGGGAGTCAAACTGCAAATACTGGTCTGTGTGGGTGGGTTTGCGGTACACCTCGGTTTGCAAATGTCCTCTATCAGAGACTGAGACCTCACAGTCCAAGAAAGCCAACTTGCCATTTTTTACATCTTCTCGTGTGAACTTGATGTATTTATCCACAGAGTTGATGTGGTCAGTAAAATGTTGGACTTCCTGAGATTTAATTTTAACCCAGGTGTCGTCAACATACCTGAACCAATGACTTGGTGGTGTCCCTGAAAAGGACGTCAAGGCTCTCTTTTCTACCTCCTCCATGTACAGGTTGGCAACAATAGGAGAAACTGGAGACCCCATAGCACACCCATGTTTCTGCCTATAATATTGCTCCCCATATGTGAAGTAGGTTGACTGCAGGCACAGTTTCAAGAGTTGACACAGTTGTTCTGTGGAAAGCGTCGTCCTGCTGCTCAGAGTGGTGTCTGATTTTAATCTTAAACTGACCACCTCTACTGCATCATCAACAGGAATGCAAAAATAAAAAAAAAGTTTTAAAAAATTTAATTAAAATTTTTTTTGTTTGTTTTTTTGAACCCATCCAGAGGACTAGACTTAACTTTTTTAGATTTTTCTACCTGGATTATTGAGCAGCATCAAGATATGTTAAAACTGAATAGTTTTCATTTGATACTATTTCTATCTTAACATGTGATTCTTGACCTGCCATTGTGTATCTGTTCCTACCAAACCCAGCCGGTCGAAGCAGACGGCCGCTTGTCCTGCGCCTGGTTCTGCTAAAGGTTCCTTCTAGGGGTTGAACGACTACATAATTTTTAAAGTCGACTTCAACATGATAAACATTTAGAGATGCTACATTCTTCACTTTCCTCTTCTCCTCTGTCCCCCGACATGTTTCCCTCCTCGTGGTCTTCCACCAACAGTAGAACAATTTCCTCTGGCACCGTTTGTCAACAGCACCGGTGGTGGTCGTTAACCCGGGCCTCCACCAGTCTGGTATGGTTTTGCTTTTATGAACTCAAATTATAGTTTGGACAAAAGTGTTGGATGTCCTTCCTGACACAACCCTCACCATTTACCCGGGCTTGGGACCAGAACCAGAGATCCACTGATTTGTGCTCCCTAGTGGCTGCAGGATAATCTGAATAAACATGAATAATTTCTATGAACTATAACCTCATTTTAATCCATGTTTTCTGTAATTCCACAGGTCTTTGTGTGAATATATTTAAATATTAACAGATTTTTTTATTTAAATTTGAGGTCAGAAACGCTACATATAGACATGGATCATTTGAGGGCTTTGTGTAACAATAATTAAATAAATAAATCCGGTTACTCACCGTAGTCCGGAGCAGGTGCTCAGAGCCACTCTGGACCTGGGGAATCCTCGGACGCTGCCGTGATAATAACAGTGGGTCTGTCGGCAACACAAACACAAACATCTGCTCACAGCTGAAAAACCCAGCAGAGACGGTTCAGCAGGTCGCGGTGCGTTCACTGACTCACCACAGGGTCGGCCGTCACAGACACTCCGGTTCCGTTGGGGAGGTAGAAGAAGATGTTGGGAGGTTTGGGCATGAGGTGGCTGCAGGCAAAACAGAGTTATACCGAGTTACTGGATCATGAATCTCCTGGTTCTGGTGGGTTTGTGATGCCAACATGTCGGATGGTGAATCGGACTCACTGGTTCTTCTCCAGGTCCAGCAGGAGGACTTGTCCTCCCAGCTCCAGCCCACACTGCAGCCGGTCAGGGTGATCCTCCTGACAACACAGAACACAACATCAAAGGATCAGAGTGTTGGGATGACTCTCAGCTACTACCACTCACAATCTGAGCGTCACGTTGTTCCTTTGTTCAATGAGGCTGATGAGCCGTGGCTGCCAGATGTTAATGGCAGGGTTAGACTGGAGAAGCTGTGAACGTCTGGATACAGGTGCTTCTCTCACAGCTGCAAACATCTGGATAACTGTGCATCTATCACAGCC